CACTGGGGGGTGGTCGATGAGGACGTTTGGTAAGATATTGAGGGTAAGCAGTATGAGGCAGGTGGGGTGAGGGTGTAGATTGCAGCTACACCGACTTGACAGGGTTTTTGGACAGCTGGGCTCTTCAGGACAAGGCCTGAGAACGGCCTGGCTGACAGTGGCTCAGAGGAGCCTGTGGCCTTGGTCCAGGAGAGTCTGTCAAAGGCCAGGCCGAGCACAGCATGGCTAACCTGCACTCTCCTTCAGTAATCTGTTTCATTTCACCACAGCCCACTCATACTTTTTCTTCTGTTCCCTACTGTAATATAATAGCTGGCCACAGCCCTGGCGCTGTGGCTCAGCGGTTAGAGCGCCAGCCCCTGGATCAAAGAGTCGTGGGTTTGGTTCTGGTCCGGGGCACGTACCTGGGTTGTGGTTGGGTCTCCTGGTCGAGTCGTGTGGGAGGCAGCCAGTCAGTGTCTCTCTCACTTCAATGTTTCTCTCCTTCCCACTCTATCTGAAGATAAATGGAAAGAAAATATCCTTGGGTGAGGATTAAAATAAAATAGCTGGCCACAGAAAGTAATATGCCTAAGGAAATTGTCCCCTTTTTATTCAAAAGTAATAGAGGAAAAACCCTAGAGGTTTGATACTATTGCTATTAAATGCACGGTGAGATCAGTGATGGGCGCTGGTGTAATCCACCAGACGGGCTGCTCTCTGTGTCCTGCCCTTCGGACGCATCGATAGCTCAGGACTCTGCAGTGGCTGAGGCTGCAGGCATGCAGTGGGGTGCTCCCCACTTGGATCTGAGGTGCCCTCTAAGGCACTTTCAGTGGGGACAACAAGACAGTTAGTTGCGGGACAGTTGCACATACGGAGGATGTTTCTGGGAGGTTACCCCAAAACCTGATAACAATGTGCGCCTGGGTGGAGGGAGTAGGAATTTAGAGACTAGAGATGAGAAGGAAGGTGTATTTTTTTTTTTTTTTATCCTCACCCGAGGACATTTTTTCATTTTTTGTTCAGATAGAGTGGGAGGGAGAGAGAGAGAGAAACATCGATGTGAAAGGGACACATCGAGTGGCTGCCACCCACACAGCCCAACCAGGGCCGGGGACAAACCGCAACCGAGGTACGCGCCCTTAGCGGGCACCGAACCCAGGTCTCTCTGGACCGCAGGCCGACGCTCCAACCACTGAGCCAAACCGGCCAGGGAGGAAGGTGTATTTTTTAAAAAATCTTGTGTTATAGTAGTTTTACAATATAAAAGGTGATGAAAAGAGAAGGGGAAAGAAATGCCCTCTACCCTCCTTTTTCTCTTCGTAATTATTGACTTTAAGGGGGAAGATTTCAAGGTACTTTAACCACCTAATTGTGCTGAATAAAATAAAACATCATAGCAGACATTTATATTGGGGGTAATTTAAAATTTACAGTTGACCCTTGAACAATGCAGGGATTAGGGGCGTTGACCCCCCCCCAGAGCCGCCCTCCAAATTCATGGATTCCTAACCTCAGATTGAAAATACATATATGCTGTTTAATTTATATTAATTACAGCCTCTCTGTTTCTAGAGCTTCAGAAGTAGGACAGTCTGTTCTAAAAGAGATTGCTGCCCTGTACACTATACTGTAATTTAATTTCTTGGAAATAACTTCTCTGAATTTTCAATTAATTTAACATTTCTGGTTAATTTAACATCTAGAATTGTCACTTCATAACTGCAAGCTATTTACTTTTTAAAAGTTTTAAAATAATAAGCTTGTTTGCTAATGTTATCTTTTTAAAATTGGCAAAGACTTTAGAGAAAATATATTTAAATAGCATTTCCCCAAATGATCTCTGTGACAGTTCCCAGGAGACTGTATGGTTCATAGTCCCTACCTGGTACATTGTGGCATGGTTTGTGGTAGTAACTGATACAGAGCCTTATTTAACCTCTCACCTGAATCTGCCATAAAGATTATTATTGCTGTCACCAAAACATAAACTCTAAGCAGAAATAGTAAGTTGATCCCCAGAAAACGAAGGCCAACTATGAGGCATGGAGAACATTTTTTTCTGTACATGACTTGGGGGCACAGTAGACTAGACCCCTAATTTTTTTTAAGACGTCCTCATTCTACAAAATGATGACATAAATGACACAAAATGCTCTGTGGCAACAAGGCATTGGTTAAATTGTCCTTGTGTACAATATAAACTCTAGAATACAGTCAGGAATAAAAAAATATGCACAAAGATCTCCCCTGCACTAAAGTCTGTGATCCTTTTCAAAAGAGATGAAAAGTTCATTTCTATTTGGATCACTTAATCCGCTTTCTTGGAATGGAGGGAGCAGGTGAATCCTTGGAGAAAATGACACTCAGAAAGGACAAGAAATGAGAGGTGACAGCCTGGCAGGGGCGCTAAAACAGCAGAACTGCCCACATACCCAGAGCACAATGCAGCAGTTGGTTCAACCAGAGGTCACGTTATGTTTTAGTTACCCTTCTGTAAAAGGCAGGCAATTGTGACTCATTTTAGAAAATTTTTATTCATGAAAAATGTTTTAGATGGAAAGTAATGCTTTTAAGTTACCTAAAAAAAAAAAAGGGATCTGAAGATTCCCTGTTCCCCAGTGACTATACTTTAACCAGAAAAGTTGGTTTATTGGGTTGTAGAAAACCCAAAACAATAAAAGCCCTAGATATCGCGTATTTGTTGACAGATGTTCACTCTGTGCTTCCTTTATAGTTCAGAGGCTTAATAGGTTTTCCTGCTTATTCCTCAAACCAATTTTGTAGGGCAGGTGTTATTATTTCTATTTCGTAGATCAAGAGACTGAGAATCTGAGAGTTCCCAAAATACCTTCGCTGACAAGTGGCAGAGTTGGCATCCGAGCTCACGTGTCTTTGGCTCCGAGGCAGGAAAATACACTTTTCCTCCTCTATCATTCTGGCTTGAAAAACAAAATGTCAGACATTTACTCCCAGATGTTACCCCTCTTCCGTCTCTTTCTCCTTTCTCTCCCTTTGTTTTCCTCCTACTCTTCCTTTCTCCTTTCTTTGTTGTGTTTTAACTTGTATGTGAGACCCTCACAGTCCAAGTGGCCTGGATCCAATCATGATTTTGAAACATTGCCTCTTTGTGAACCTTTGACATGGAGATGCTGAGCCTGTGAGCAGCGAGGTCCCCCCCACCCAGGGGTTACCTGCTGGCCTTGATCCTGGGGGGGGGGGGAGCCTCTGTTCTATGCTTGAAGAAAGCCTTCGGAGGAACTGGGCTTTCTCAACAACTGAAGTGCTCAGCACAAATACACTCTGTCCCCATGCAGAACCGCACTGCCCATGGGCAGAGTATCCCCCAAAAATAGCATTGGCCTTCTCACAAAGACCTAGCACATGACCCAAGAAATTCTTTGTGAATACATATCTTCACTTTTTTCCTGATTACTAGAGCAATGGATTTTTTTTTGTAAAAAAACTAAATTATTACAGAATTATAAGAATTGAGAATAACTCATAATTCCACCAATTCCTGTTAATGGTTTTAAAGAAATTCTAATTTGTGAATTAATTCTTCAGATCAAATGATTGTGTTTTCCCTCCTCCCTCTGTGCTTTGGTGTAGACCAGTGTGTAGCCAGAGCACTGGGGATTGAGGGTTGGCCTTTTGCTTTCTCACCCCCCCCCACTTTGTTTTGTTCAGGGTATGCATTTGAAAGGCAGGCAGAGTAAGCAAAAGGAGGAAAGAAGGTGTCGCTTCTCCAAAATGTGAATGACTTCATCAGTAAAAAAAAGTCCAGATTGAAGTGTTATTACTCATACTATTCTTTATTGAGTACAGGAGATACTGGCTTTTGTGTTAGTTTTGATTTAATTTTTGGCCAATAAGTATTGGTTCCTTGACTATGTAAATAAATATAGATGAAGAAATTAAAATATATAAATTTTATTTTAAAAATGGGAATTTTGGCCCTGGCCGGTTTGGCTCAGCGGTTGGAGCGTCGGCCTGCGGACCAGAGAGTCCCGGGTTTGGTTCCTGCTAGGGACATGTACCAAAAAAGGGGAATTTTGAACTAGGTAGGATTTGCATCTGTAGTTGATATCCCAGGAGCTGAGTCCCTGAGGGAATTTGTCAGAGTCCTCCCAAGAATGAGTGAGAGAACATCTGTAAAGTTCATGGTGCAGAGTACACAGCACTAAATGTTAGTGCTCATCACTAATGTTTTGTAAGAGGTGTGATCATGCTCTAATGCTCTGTGACAGCTTATTCTTTGAACAATCACAAGCACACATCTGCCTCATTCTTTTTGTGGTTGCATCATAATTACATGAGATAACCTGCTACAATGTGTTTAGTTCCTGAATTTGTGGAAAGGGTCACAACAGGGGTCAAAGAGCCATTTGTTTGCCTGTTCTTGGAAAACAGCTCTGTGTTCTAACATTCAGATCTGGAGACATTGAAGACCTTCCATAGCCTACAGTTTTATCTGAACAAGAATGCTGTGTTTTTAGAGAAATATGTAGGAATCTTCCTACTACCAGACAGTGTTAAGCTGCTAAACATTTCAAGGTGCTCTCTGCTGGACAGACTTCAAGGCCTGTACACTTGTGGAATTTCTTAGGAGTTATCTTCGTTTTCTTAAACACTACTGTTGATATCAAAGTACTAATTTTCTGCCTTGATAAGTACATAAAGAATATTCACTGACGTTAGTTTCTACATTCACTGGCTTCATCAGAGGAGAGGCAATGCCGGCAGTCTGTCACAGCCGCGGTGGGGGTCCTGGAGAACCATTATTATTCAAATGCTCCTGGCTTCTTGAATAAAGTGGATGACTAAGTATACTTCTCATAGTAAGAGAGATGATTAGCAGTGGGAGACACATTTGAACTTGCTTGGAGAGTGGCCTTTGTCTCTAGGAGGCTGGCACTCAGTAATTACTAGAACAGGTCTTCCTTTCATCCCGGCGTCTCTCCTCCTTCACGCTTGCGGTGTCTGAATCGCTTTCTATTGCCTGTTAATCCCTGCAGGAATGTGGCTTTGGCTACGGGGAGGATGCTCGGTGTGTGACGTGCCGGCTGCACAGGTTCAAGGAGGACTGGGGCTTCCAGAAGTGCAAGCCCTGCCTGGACTGTGTGCTGGTGAACCGCTTCCAGAAGGCCAACTGTTCCGTCACCAGCGACGCTGTCTGCGGGGACTGCTTGCCAGGGTAGGTAGGATGATTTCTTTCCCTCGTAATTACTCAGTTATTTTCAAGCAGACATTTTTCCTGTTCTTTTCCAAATATGAATGCACACTGATGTTAACCTGAGCACATTCGTTGAGTGCCTATGACGTTGCATCTCAACAGTCCCCACTGGATTCTTGGTGCCCGAGCCATGGACTGTGACAAGTGCTGGTTGTAAATAAAATGAATAAGCATGCTAACAAAGGAAGAGTGTCAAGAGATTCTACAGAGTATATATAAATAAAAAGAGAACATGGACACATGGACCAGAGAATAAACAGGCAATTCACAAAAGCGGAAACACATGTGTTCATCCTCACTAGAGATCAGAGAAATGCAAATCATGACCATTCAGCTATTTCAACAGATATTTGTCCAGCAACCGTGAGGCATTGCTTTAGGTACAGCTGTTATTGGTGGAAGTGGAGTTCTTGGGGTGTCACGGGGAAATGAATTTCCTGAGACCCCCATGGGAGGATGGGGTTTGTGGAAAGCTTTATTGATGGTATAAAACTAGGGAAGTTTCCCCTCCAAGGTCCCATCTCTGTCCATCTCCCCATGGGAGAAGTGCCATCTTGTCTTCAGCAGGCTAGAATCAAGGCCACTGCCCAGAATTTCTGCTCCATATAAAGTCCAGTGCAGTCCAGCCTCTGGCTAGCTTAGCTTGTGTTCCCAGCTCCAGTCCACTGCGTGTGGGGTCTGCATGGCCATGGGCTACACAGCTGCTTAAGGCCACCCGGCTGTGGAGAGAGAACAGGCGAGCACACTAACGAGTATAGGTCATGGAGCAAGAGAGCACAAGGGCAAAATAGAACAAGAGAGAGAGAACTCTCTGTGGGGTTATGTATTCCCATATTTTCATGGGCTTGCATTGTGGTCTACCACTAGCCAATACGTTGTTCCCCAGGCTAGACTGACAGAGAAGCACCTCCCCTGCACCACCCCAACTTCACTGCACATATGCCCATCTCCCCCTTTGTTCAATCCCTTCCCCCAGCGATCCGCAGGGAATGGACCAGTGGTTTCCTGGGGAGGTTCCTGGTGAAGCTGCCCGGGTGACCATGCTTATAATGTCTGGCCTTCCCTTTGCTCTCTTCCTGTAATATTAATAAACCAGCTAATTACAATGATAACACAGCTAGGCATTGCTTAGATTGGGAGGCAAAGATCCCTACTCATGTGGAGCTTATATCCTAATAAGGTTTTTAAAAATATCTAAACAGCCCTGGCTCGTTTGGCTCAGCAGTTAGAGCGTTGGGTCACTGACCAATGAGTCTCAGGTTTGATTCCGGTCAAGAGCATGTACTTCGGTAGCAGTTTGTCCCCTGGTCGGAGTCGTACAGGAGGCAACCAGTTGATTTGTCTCTTTCACATTGATGTTTCTCTCTCTCTCTCTCTCTCTTTTTTTCTCTCTCCTTCCCTCTCTCCCTCCCTCTCACTCTATCTGAAGATAAATAGAAAAATATCCTTGGGTGAGGATTAAAAAAATATATATCTAAATAGATATTAAAGAAGCAAATTATGCAGAAAAGCAGAAGATGATGATTTCTGTGGAAAAAAGAAACCCTAGAGCAGCGAAGGGGGATCAGGCGCGCCCCGTGGAACGGCTCCACCCGCTGCGGTATTAACGTGCCGGTGTGACGTGGGGAGGGCACCGGAGACACCGGCAGCCAGAGCAGGCCTCACGGTGGACATGAACTTGGTATATTTGGGAAGCTGCAAAGAGGCCCGGGTATCTTCAGGAGGAGGGAAGAGTCACGTAGAAAAAGAAAGAGTGGGCCCGGCCAGTGTGGTCAGTGGTTGAGCGTCGACCCTGCACCAAGAGGTCACTGGTTTGATTCTGGGTCAGGGCACATGCCCAGGTTGTGGGCCCGATCCCAGTGGGGGGCATGCAGGAGGCGGCCAGTCGATGTTCTCTCTCATTGATGTTTCTACCTCTCTCTCCCTCTCCCTTCATCTCTCTCTAACATCAATAAAGAAAAAAAAATTTGTTTTTAATTGTTAAAAACGAAAAACAGAGGGTGGAAGGGAGTGAGCACGTGTGAATAGTGGACACCGTCAATGTGTGCATTGCCAAGGAACCCAGGCCATGGAGAGAAAGGGGCCAGGCGAAGAGGCAAAGCTCAGGAGAGGAACTGTGAGTGTGCCTGGGCAAACAGTGGGTAGATATGCCCGATGAAAAGGCAGTTGGGGGACAGACTCCACATGAAGAGTGGGCCTCAGGGAGGCACGGGTGATGATCTGTTAGGGAGTGAGAGGCATTCCTCCAAGGTAAAATACTTTCATGGGTGTAGGGTGCACCCTGTGTTGTCAATCAAAGACGGACAGGAGAGAACCCAGAATTACAGGAGCTGTGGAAAGCAGGCTTTGTCGCAGAGACAAAACAACTAGAAATAGCATCACAGGAGCAGCAAACTTTTATCATTTGTACTGTGCCAGGCACTTACATGAGTTATGTTTTGTAATGTTCACGGTGTCTTAAAAATGAAGAAAGCAAGCCTGTCCAGGTTGAAGTTTATTCAGGCAAGATCACTCAGCCAGTGTGTGGTGGAGCTGGGGCCACACGCGGGAACCTCCTGCCACAGTCCGGGCCCTAGGTCACGGCAGAGGAGGGCCTCTGGCTGGACTCGGCGCGAACATGCCACAAGATTAGGGTGCTTCTGACCAAGTGGCACAGTGACAGGCCTGGGACTCTTGTGGAGTCCAGAGCGGGAGACAATGCTCTGGACATGAAAGGCAGGAACAGGATAGGAAATAGCCGGTGGGTCAAGTTATTGACCAAAACAGACGCAAAAGCAGTGATTTTGCACCAAAAGCATAAGCAACCGAATAAAAAATAGCTATATTGGACTTAATCAAAATGAAAATCTTTTGTGCTTCAAAGGATACCATCAAGAAAGTGAAAAGACAACCCACAGAATTAGAAAAACTATTTGTAAATTATGTATGTGATAAGGGACTGTCTTATCTAGAATACATAAAGAACTCTTACAACTCAATAATAGAAAGGCAAATAACTCAGTTAAAATATGGGCAAAAGATTTGATTGGACATTTCTCCAAAGAAGATATACAAATGGTCAATAAGCACATGAAAATATGCCATCAGGGAAATGCAGATTAAAACTGCATACTTCACACTCGGTAGGATGGCTGTTACCAAAAAGACAGGCAATAACAAGTGTTGGCGAGGATGCAGGGAAATTAGAACCCGCATACACTGTTGGAGGGAATGTAAAATGGTGTAGTTGCTTTGCAAAAGTCCAGCAGTTTCTTAAACATAGTTGCTGTGTGACCCAGTGATTCTGCTCTTAGATATATAACCAAGATAACTGAAAACACATCTACAAAAAAACCCTGTGCACAAATGTTCATAGCAGCATTATACACAATAGTCAAAAGCGGAACAACCCAAATGTACATCAATTGATGAATAGATAAGCACAATGGAGTGTATTCAAACATTGGAATTTTATTCAGCAATGAAAGGAATGACTTACTGATACATACTATAAAATGGATGAAACTAGAAAACATGATGTTAGGTGAAAGGATCCACTCACAAAAGACCACCTATTGTATGATTCCATTGCAGGAAGTATCCAGAATGGGCAAATGTGTAAAGGAAAAAGTAAGTTAGTGGTTATCTAGGGCTGGTGGCGATCGATGGTAGGGGTCGGGAGAATGGGGGTGGGGTACAGAGTTTCTTTTTTGGCTTGATGAAAATGTTCTAAAATACATTGTACTTATGATTACACAAATCTGTGAATATATTAACACCATTTCTTTGTGTATTTTAAATGGATGAATTCTAAGGTTTATAAAATATTTCAGTAAATCTGTTATTTAATAAAAAAGTAATGGTCTAAAATCTCAGAAGACATTGGTGCCTGTGATCATTACCCAGAGTTTTGACCTTGTGCAAATCTATTCGAGGAACACACACTGAACACCTGACACATCTCTAGTGTTCCTTTCTACAGCTTTGAGAAAAGCATGTCTGGGTATGTGTGCTCTCTTCATCTGGTGGGCCGGGGAAGAGAAGGTCCGCAGGAGATAATGCCCACCTTGCGTCTGGCTGCGGGCTGAGGGCTGAGGTGGGCAGTGCCCAGAGAGAGTGGGCAAAGCACAGGACATGAGGACCAGGTTTTCACGAAAGAGCCCAGGAGTGTGCTGCTGGCACGTGGGAGAGGGTACAGTCTCCCCAGCAGCTCCCACCAGATGTGCTTCCGCGTGCTGAACCCCATCTGTGGTCCTCTGAACCCATGGCTTTAGTTTCCACAGTGTTGGCTCGTTCTTTAAATAAATGCTTAGATGCAGGAAAGTTAGAAACTAGTAGACATCTGAATGATGTTTCACAGCTTATTTACATCTTTTCTAAGCCAGCATGAATGTATGATGCAGGCAGTAATCACACAGTGACTTTTACCAAGGTTTTCCATTGTTTTAAAAGTGTTCATCCTTGCCCAGCCAGCGTGGCTCACTGGTTGAGCATCATCCCACGCACCAAGAGGTCGCAGGTTCAATTCCTGGTTATGGCTCTGATCCCCACTGGGGGCATGTGGGAGGCAGCCAATCCATGCTCTCTCTCATCGATGTTTCTATTTATCTCTCCCTCCACCATCCTCTAAAAGTCAATCAATCAATCAGTCAATCAATCAATAAAAGTGCTCATCCAGTCCAGCCGGTGTGGCTCAGTAGATTGAGTGTTGTCCCATGGACTGAGAGGTCGCAGGTTCGATTCCCAGTCAGGGCACATGCCCGGGTTGCTCAATCTTAAGTAGGGGTTGTGCAGGAGGCAGCCGATTGATGTTTCTCTCTTACATCAATGTTTCTATCTCTCTCTCCCTTCCTCTCTAAAAAAAAAAAAATCAATAAAATACATTTAGAAAAAATAAATAAAAGTGCTTATCCAGCTTAGAATATGATTTGCAAATATTTCCTCCCTTACTGCAGGTTGACCTTCACTGTTGTTGTATCTTTTATTTTTAATCCCTGAAGGAATCATTATTATTTTATTATAATTTAAAACTAATTTCAGTCTGACTTACTTTTTAAAACCACTTTATTAAGTAAGGTATGATTGACATGTAAAAAGCTGTACATATATAATATATAGAACTCAATGAGTTTGGGTGTAAATATACATTGATTGTATCCTTTTATGCACACATTTTAAGTTTGATGTGGTCCCCTTGTCTGTTTTTGGTTTTGCTGCCTGCTTCATATATGCCTTCTGGTGTCATGTCCAAGAAATTATTGCCAAGTTCAATGTCATTAAGCTTTTCTCCTATGTTTTCTCCCAGGAATATTATAGTTTGGGGTCTTTCATTGCTTTGAATTAAGTTTTTGTATATGATGTAAGATAAGGAGCCAACTTTATTCTTTTGCATGTGGGTACCCAGTTTTCCCAGCACCGTTTGCTGAAGAGATTGCCCTCTCTCCATTGAGTGGGCTTTGTTCCCTGGTCAGAGATCGTCTGACCCTGTGCGTGAGGGTTTGTCTGCAGGCTCTCTTCTGTTCATCAGTCTGCATGTCTCTCTTCATGCCAGTCCACATTGCACTGACTAACGTAGCTTTGGAATATTTTGATATCAGGAAGTGTGAATCTTCCAACTTGTTCTTTGATTTTGACTTTCTAAATTCCAAAGTAAATATCTTTAATTAAAATTTGGCCCTGGCCAGTTTGGCTCAGCGGTTAGAGAGTCAGTCTGCGGTCCAGAGAGACCCGGGTTCGGTTCCCGCTAAGGGCATGTACCTCAGTTGCAGTTTGTCCCCGGCCCTGGATGGTCGAGCGGGTGGCAGCCACTCGGTGTGGCCCTTTCACGTCGATGTTTCTCTCTCTCTCTTCCTCTCTCTCCCTCCCACTCTATCTGAACAAAGAAATGGAAAAATGTCCTCGGGTGAGGATAAAAAAAAAAAAAAAATTTGGTGGGAACTCATTGTATTACAATCATTTGGACAGATTTTTCAGTCAAATGAAAGTGGAACGTTGAGCAAATAAGGAAAGTCTTGAATATTTGGAGTAACTTACCTAGTTTCAAATGCAAATTTTGTTTCAATTATAAATTATACAGATTTGTTATTGCATTATCCAATTTCACAAAATAATTTCTTCTACCTGACCTTATAAACTTGATCTTTTTCTTTTTTTAACTTATCTTTATTGGTGAATGTATTACAGATGTTCCTCATTTTTCCCCCATTGGCCCCCTCCTCCCAACTCCCGCCCCGTTCCAGCCTTTCCCCACACTGTTGTCTGTGTCCATTGGTTATGCATATAAGTTCTTTGGTTTATTTCTTCCCACCCCCCAAACCCCCTTCCCTTTCAGGTTTGTCAGTCTAACAATCAATTTGTACGTACTTCTTAATCTCTTCACCTTTTTCACCCATTCCTCCAACCCCCCTCCAATCTGGCAACCAACAAAATTTCTCTGTATCTATGAGAATGTTTCTGTTCTGCTTGTTCATTTTGTTTGTAGATTCAATTGTCGATAGATGTGTATTCATTGCCATTTTGTTTGTTCATATTTTTTATCTTTTTCTTCAGGAAGACCCTTCAACATTTCATATAATAATGGTTTGGTGGTGATGAACTCCTTTAGCTTTTTCTTGTCTGGGAAACTCTTAATATGGCCATCGATTCTAAATGACAGCTTTGCAGGATAGAGTAATCTTGGTTGTAGGTTCTTGCTTTTCCTCACTCTGAATATTTCTTGCCACTCCCTTCTGGCCTGCAAAGTTTCTTTGAGAAATCAACTGATAGTCTTATGGGAACTCCCTTGTAGGTAACTAACTGCTTTTCTCTTGCTGCTTTTAAGATTCTCTGTTTGTCTTGAACCTTTTGCATTTTTATGATGATGTGTCTTGGTGTGGGCCTCTTGGGGTTCATCTTGTTTGGGACTCTCTGTGCTTCCTGGACTTGTATGTCTGTTTCCTTCACCAAGTTAGGAAAGTTTTCTGCCATTATTGTTTCAAATAGGTTTTTGATTTCTTGTTCTCTCTCTTCTTCTGGCACCCCCAAGATGCGAATGTTGGCATGCTTGAAGTTGTCCCAGAGGCTCCTTACACTATCCTCATTTTGTTGGATTCTTTTTTCTTTTTGCTGTTCTGATTGGGTGTTTTTTGCTTCCTTATATTGCAAATCGATGGTTTGCTTCTTGGCTTTACCTACTTTACTATTGAATCTGTGTAAATTATTCTTTATTTTCGTTAGTGCTTCCTTCATTTCTGACTGGTCCTTTTTTATGCTCTTGAGGCCCTCACTAAGTTCACTGAGGTTCTCACTAAGTTCATTGAGCATCCTTAGAAGCAGTATTTTGAACTCTGCATCTGTTAGGTTGCTTTTCTCCATTTCACTTAGTTCTTTTCTTGGGGTTTTATTCTGTTCTTTCATTTGGGACCTGTTTCTTTGTCTCCTCATTTTGGCTGCCTCCCTGTGTTTGTTTCTGTGTATTACTTAATGAGAGGTATGGGGCTCGCTGAGACCAGATGCTGCTTGTTTGAAAGAATTTAGGAAAACCTGAAACAGGATCCAAAACAGGCCAATCCTATGGTGAAGCAACTGGCAACAGCTTGGGTGGGCCTGAAAGTTGGGTGGGGCGGGGCCTCAGGGAGTCACCAAGGCGGGGCTACCAGTGTGGCCAGGTTGCTGGAGTCCCAGATATGGCGACTGTCTGCCGCCCCAGGGAAGGGCTCACCAAAGGAACAAAGGCCTCTGACAGCACGTTTGTCCCCAAGAAAGCCCTCCCTCCAGCCCTCACTCCAGTGCCAAACAGCTCAGTTCTTCCCTGTGTGTCTCTGGCGCCCCTCGAGCTGCCTCCCCTCCGAGCTTAGAGGGAGAGAGTCCGATAAGTCCGTGCGCGGGCCCTTTAAGGAGCTGCCTGGGGCTCCAGCCGCCTCAGCTTCCCTGAGCCTCAGTTCCCGCTGGTTTTCCAGCCAGAAGTGATGGGGATTCTCTTCCTGGCACTGGAACCCTGAACGGGGCACCTGGTTTGGGACGGGGACCCCTCAGTCCTCAGGGAGGACCTTCCCAGCCGAGGTGTCCTCCTGATTTTTATCCGCCACATGTGGGTGTGGGACCAGCCCGTCCCCTCCGCCCTCCTACCAGGCTCCATGTGGCTTCTTTTTTTTGTTGTTCAGATAGAGTGGGAGGGAGAGAGAGGAAGAGAGAGAGAGAAAAACATTGACGTGAAAGGGACACATCGAGTGGCTGCCACCACATGACCAAATGGTGCCGGGGACAAACTGAACCGAGGTACGTGCCCTTAGCGGGAACCGAACCCGGGTCTCTCTGGACCGCAGGCCAATGTTCTAACCGCTGAGCACCGGCCAGGGCTCCATGTGGCTTCTTTAATCTCGTAGTTGTAGGACTTCCATTCAGCTTGATGTTAGGTGGTTTTGAATGATGGTTGTTCTGTAGTTTAGTTGTAACTTTGATGTGGTTGTGGGAGGACACGATACCATGTTTACCTACCCGCCATCCTGACCAGAAGTGTCCTTACCAAAGAATCTATACTAAAGTGTGTTTATACATGATGGATTATAATATTCCCACTTTCTTTCCCCACTTAATATTTTATGAGTTAAAAAAATTATGTATGGTAAATCTGTATGATTGTTTCTAAAGCCCACCTTGTGTTATTTTGCCTTGATTGTAACATAGTTGGTCATATCTACTGTTGGGTGTTGAGATTGTGCCCAATTAACTTCTTTTCTTTTATAAACAATACTGTGATTGCATTCTTACACATACAGTTTTACCCACCTGATTATTTCTTTTGGATACATTTAAAAAAAAATGAAATTATAGGGTAAATAAACTGAGTTCTGATGACGTATTGCTAAATTGCCCTCCTCCAAGTGGCAATATATACATGTGCCTATGCCTACTCTTACACCAACATTTTCTCAATTTTTTAAGTAAAAATGGTGTATTTTCATTGCAATTTGTAGTTACTTGATTGGTAATGAAGTTAAACCCTTTAATGTTAAATTTAAAAATTAATGTCATTCTTTTTAGTTTTAATCATAAAAATTATAAAATGTTATGTGATTCTTTTGGGAATTAATGTTCTTTGCCTGTTTTTTCTTTCACCATAATGATTTTTAAGTTTAACGTTATAGACTTAAGTTGTAGAAAATGCTGTGATCAGAACTAATTTTTTATTTTCTTTTGCCCAGTAACTAGGTTGATGATACTTGGTTTTTGCTCTTCATTTGTCTTTAATATTCTGTGTGTGTGTGTGTGTGTGTGTGTGTGTGTTTTCAAAGTTGTTAATCTCTTCCATTCTGGCTCCTGGGTCTTTTTCCATCAATATGAATTAATCTTGTCATGCCTAGAAAGATGTCCCCATATCAAGATTATATAAACACCTCCCTACATTTTTCTACTGTTTTAATGGTTTGTTTGACTTTTTTAGTCTCTGAATTTTAAATGTCAAAAACTAGCACTTTATTTATAAGGTGTTTTATCATTTAAATAGATTTAATGTTCCTACTCCCAGTATAGAAAAAGGGAGGCTGAGTAAAACCTGCAGCGATGTTGAGTGGAGCCGACATTTCTTACCACTCACTGCAGCTCACAGGGCTCTCTGGACGTCTGTCTAAGATGCTACTATACTTCAGGCTTTGAGAACCTTTCTTAAAGCAATAGAACTGGTAATGGAAACTGTCAGTAATGTATGTAATCTGTTCACTGGGACTGAGTGCCTAGATGAAAGAGCTAACAAGGATTCTTTTCTTTTTCTTTTTCTCCTAGATTTTATAGGAAGACAAAACTTGTTGGTTTTCAAGACATGGAGTGTATACCTTGCGGAGACCCTCCTCCTCCTTACGAACCACACTGTGAGTGAACTCCATACAAACACAGCAGAAGGGCTCTTGGCCTTTTTTAAAAAAAAACAAAACCTTTGTTCAGTTGGCAAATGGAGCACAATCTCTCCCTACTGTGGGGCTTATAGTGCATACTCTTTTATCAAGCTTCCAGCAGGACATAAAGCCCCTTTGTTGTGTGTCTCAGTCAGCAAACTGCGTCCATTGATTTGAATCTCAAAGTGAAATACAGACGTTTTGTGGCTGCTGTACTCCATTCAAACTCTTTCATTCTCTCTCTTTCTCTATGTATGTATGTATATCTCAGGCAACTCCAAGTAACTCAGTGGTCCAAATCCTAATGCATAACGTCTGTGGCTGTGGCCCTATTAATGCCTGTGTTTTCCCATCTTAGTCCCTAGGCACTGTCTTGTGGTATCTTTTCTGCCATTCCTGAGACATGCCTCTCTGTGAATCGCCTACCCTAATCAATGTATTGTTAAATGAAGTCTTAGTTCATTTCATTCATTCCTTATTCTTCTCATTTAATAAATAAGAAGAGGAACCCACTGTGTACTAGGAATATAACTGTAAATGAGAAAATTGTGCCTTTTTCTATTTATAGTAGTATTAATTCATCTTTTTTACCATACTTTTCCCTTAGATACAAAAGGTAATTGCTACAAGTTTTATAAACCTACACTGATTTTGAATGGGAACTTTAAGTACAGATCTGGCCAATGAAAACCAACAGGTATTGGGCCAGGAAAGAAACCAGCAGGTGGCCCTCGCGTGCTCAGCTCTGGCTGGTGCTGTCTAAGCAGGGCTTTGGGAGCTGGGCTCCGCGGTGCACAGGAAGGCAGATCTCAGCAGAGGACGCAGGAGACTTTTATCCCGAGCATAGGTGGCTCCTGACTTTCTGGGGAGCCTGGTAACATCAATGTTTATATTTAGGGGTTGTTTTGATATAATTTTCAATGCATGGGATTTGTCCTCTTACTTCTTTCCGTGACAAAAGTCTCCTCTAAACTAATTGAAAATCATTGCATTATTTGATAAGGTCACATGGTACTTGTGTCTCCCAGAACATCATGGAATTTTGTAGTCCATATTATTATGTCCTTTACCAAAATGCATTACTTTTGTTGTTGTTGTTAATCGTCACCCAAGGATATTTTCCATTGATTTTTTTATTTTTATTTTTTAGATAAAGTGGAATGGAGCAGGGAGAGGGAGAGAAAGAGAGCGAGAGAAACCTCAATGTGAGAGAGACACACCGACTGGTTGCCTCTCGCACAACCCTGACCGGAGCTGGGGTCAAACCTTCAGTCCACGAGCCAACACTCTAACTGCCGAGCCACACTGGCCAGGGCTAAGTGCATTACTTTTTATTCTTCATTTGAAGTGATAGAAAAGCAGAAAAAAAATACAGACTAATTTTTATAGAAATTATTTTGACCCTCATTTTTATAATATCCAAACATTCACCAATTTATGAATGCAATGTTACACATTGTCATCATTGGGAAACAATTTGTTGTGCTTAATTTTCTCAGTACCACATCACCTGCCCACATTTGGGGGACACCAGGTCCAGAGGGTCACTAACTGTTCGCTGTTGGCTGGTAATTGGCAGACAGTATTCAAACCTAAGTCTGTCTAACTGAGTGGTTGGTTCTTTCCATACATTCTGATGTCCTTCTAAGAAAACCAGACTATCTAATCTGTCCTCTGATGGCTGTTGTAATCTATTTAATGTTGACCTTTTCTTATATTGTTTGCTTTACTGTCCATAACTTAATGAAAACTAAAAATCTAGCATAGAGAAGATCCTGAAAGAGCTTCTTTATGCTTCATAATCTATAAAATGACATGTTCTCTCGCCAATTCAAATGGGCAGCAGTTGGGTTTGCCAGTGGGTCAGCTTAGCCATCATTTTGTCCAGAGGGCAAAAAGTGTGCTCTTCATCCCAAACCACTGTAAAAAGATTTAGTAAAGAAATTGGGCCAGGCCCGTGTGCTCAGTGGTTGAGCCTCCACCCATGCACCAAGATGTCGCCAGTTCGATTCCCAGTCAGGACACATGCGCAGGTTGTGGGCCCGATCCCCAGTGGGGGGTGTGCAGGAGGCAGCCAGTCGATGTTCTTTCTCATCGATGTTTCTATCTCCTTCCCTCTCCGTCTCTCTCTAAAAATCAATAAAGGGGAAAAAAAACAAAAAGAAATTGAGAGTTGGAAAGTATTGGGTTAATTTTTTATGTTTAATAATCTAGTAATAAGTCTGAGACATTGGAATTTCTTGCCTTTGAGGATCTAAGTTTGGACATCATAAATTCACCTTTAAATGTAGGTTTTACATTTAACTTTTTTTTTTTTTAATCCTCACCTGAGGACATTTTTTTCCTTTTTTTTTTTTTTGTTTAGATAGAGTGGGAGGGGGAGAGAGAGAGAGAGATACATAGACATGTAAGGGACACATCGAGTGGCTGCCATCCGCACGACCAACCAGGGCCGGGGCCAAACTGCAACCGAGGTACATGCCCTCAGCAGGAACTGAACCCGGGTCTCTCCCGACCGCAGGCTGTCCCTCTAACCGATGAGCCAAACTGGCCAGGGCCACATTTAACTTTTAATGTCTTCTAAAGTCCTATGTCAGTTATAATTTGAGAAAGTAAAACAGTTTAATGTATGTATATAGATATATTTCTCCATATATGAAACTCTTTAGAAAGCAAGGAGACAGATTACTTGCCGGGTCAGGAGCTCGCTGCACAAACAGCTTGCATCCCGAGCAGCAGCTGTGGCCGAGGGCGAGGTTGCCCCTCTGCAAGGGCCAGCCGCCGCCTGGGCACAGTTCTTGGGGTCACTCTGGAGCACAGCTGATCTCCTCCAATGACATTTGGGGGTAATCATGTAAGGCACCTTATGCTTTCATTTCTCCCACTTCGGGCTTTTCAACTTATTCACAAAACCCAGTTTTTTCCCGTGAGGAGCTCCTACGTTAAGTAGACTCTTAGCTGTTAGAAAGGGACGCCCCTCAAGCTGCCTGGCGTCCTGGGTTGGCCTCCCGGATACAGGCAGCAGTGAGAGGAGGGGAACCCCGGGCGGCGTGGCGGGCAGCCTGGGGCCGAGCCCTGCCCGGGCCCTGAGCAGCCCCCAGCTGCTCGCTCGGCCTGCGGGCCGCTCGGCCGCTCGGCGTCCCTTCCTGCCTCCCGCTGCTTCTGCCCTGACTTCCCCGCTGGGCTCGCGGAGGACATGATCGGATGGATGGGTCTAGTTACATGCCATCGAGGCAGAGGCTTCTCCGTTTACCCGCCGACAAGCATGCGCGCCAGGCACGCAGTGGAGGACAGGCAGACCCCAGGCCCCTCTCCGGGGAGGGTGCGGTGCGGACAGACGCCCCGGGTAGACGCCCGGGTAGACGGGGTTCAGGTTCAGCACAAGCAGGGACAAGCTGGGACTTCTAGTCCCTTTTCTGAAGGATCCCGGTGCTCCGAGGGCGAGTGCTGGGTAACGGCTAGGAGCACTGGGGAAGCTTTGCGCTGTGATTTAAAGGTCACTGGAGGAGGAGGAGCATGAGGAGGCGACCAGGCGAGGTCTCAGAAGCGGGGAGCCGGGCGTCCGGTGGCCTGGCGGTGGTCTGCGCGCGCCCCGTCCGCCGACGCTGGGGTGTCCTCCCCTCGAGGTCTGCGATGACACCCACAAGAACCATTTTCTCGAGTGATGGAAATAAATGGGAGCCACATTAAAATGAAGCAAGAAGTTTATGGAAGGGGAGAATGGAGACCGTTACAGACAACTGCAGATGCGTCTGTGGCGAGGGCCTGTGCAGTGTGCAGGCCAGGGAAGGGCTTTGTTTTATGTTTTTCAGTGTAGACACATCTGCATGTTTTCACTTTGAGAGAACGAAAGAATAACCAGGCACGGAAGGTTCTTGGAGAAGGTCCTTCTCCGGGGGGAGGGGAGACCCTGGGAGGGGCCGTGAGCGTGGGCTTGTCATGCACTGATGGGTGGGAGGGCTCGTATGCGCGGCTTCTGCGTGTGCGAGGAGCAGGCACCGTGTTCGCCAACGGAGGCAGGAGCCCAGGAACGCGGGCGGGGAGAGCGAGCACAGGTGTCTGGGGTTCTCATTACAAAGAGTGGGAGGCCAGTTGATTAGAGGAAATAGTGGATTTCCTGGTAGCAAGGGTCCACCTGAAGTCTGTGGTCATAGTGGCGCATTGTGTGCCCCTCTAGGATGTCTGGCGGGGCTTCTGCTGGGAGATGACTCAGGCCACCTCTGAAGCAACCCCAAGACATGCATAAGTTGCACCCTAAACGTACAGTGTTTAGCAAGCTGCAAACAAGTTCTTAAAGGGATGACTGTCTGTGTTAATAACACAAGAATATTTTAAATTAATGTAATGCTTTAAAAAATATATTTCTATAATACCTGAAGCAAACCAAACTAACGTGAAACTGAAAACTTCCCATATATCTGTCAACCTTTCGAGGGGCCACCCCAGATCCATACTTATCTATGGCTGGGTACCTTTGGCCAAGTGACTGACTTAATTCTCTTCGAGCCAGGTTTTGTCCCTGTAGAAGGGAGTGGCACCTCTGAAGGTGGCTGTAAGAACTGGATAGTAAACACATGTAAATTGCCTTTCATAGTGTCTGGCAATGAACAAGGTTTCCGACCTGTTAACTCCCTTCCTTGTCCTTCTACCCTGCAAGGCTTCTTGGTTGTTGAGACCGCATCTCCTAATATTTTGGGGACTTTGTTATCTTGAGAAAGAACTAAGTAATTGCCCAGGGGTTTGGTGTTCAGCAGAGCGGTGGTTCAGTGGAGACCCGTGAGCCCATGTGTGGGTGTAACTGGCCACTCAACAGGAAATGGTGAATTGAGAGACTGCTGACATTGCAGCTGCCACATGAGAAATGTTCCTCTGCAGCTTACATTTCTGATGAAGTGTCTAAATGTAGTTTCTCTCTTTGTAGGGCATACCTGTATTTCCTGTGAAGTGATATTGAAAATAAGAACTTTCTGTCCCTC